TGGTTCCACACTATAGACTCTTGTTAGGCCGGCTGACTCATTTAGACCCAAAACACTAATGTTTTTAAGGCCTCGAACACTACTGTTATATCAACCAGCCCATGGCACCATACTATGAGTGTGTGTAGATATTTGTCTATACTAGGTCAAAAAAATAAAGCAAATAAAGCAGATGATAACTGCATACCGCAAAATTCAATAGAGTCAAATATTATTAGTACCGGCAATATAAATCATAATGTCTGTACAAATTAAAAATACTCCATCAACTGATAGTAAGTTATTCTGGGGTCGGACTCATGGCTCATATGATTTAATTCTAATGACAAGCAATTCAAGATTGTAAAGTGTCATTGTTCCAAGGAAAATTGAATGTCCGATGAGGAAAAGCAGCATAGCTGGATCCACGCGTGACTCTGGGTAAAATTAAATCCAATCTGTATTTAAAACCATAGATGTATATTTCTCCATTGGGTCGGTGTACTTTTGTTGGGACATATAGCAAATCTCTTGTTCCAAAGGAACAAAGACAAAGCCAAACTCAATATTTCCATGTAAACATTTGATCCAAAGGCAACTAGTACATAACCAAATCGGTTGCCGCATGTTGTTTCCCCTCCCATCCAAAATGAACACAATTACTCTTGAACAAAATGGACAAAGTATAGCTAGGACCAAACTTAAGCTGACAAGAATAATGAGAATTCAGTTTATTGTTAGTACATTTGCGGCATTAGTGAACAAACCATTATTAAGGCACGAGCATTCTGCAAATCTCGTGATTCTAAATTGGTTCACAGTTAACACCACCATGATAAAAGCACAAAGGATGATGCTTTAAACTTTAAACAGAATCATGCTCACGTTAAGTAGACATTTGAACCCTGTTGATCTCATTTTGCAACAAAAAACTACTATAACTTAAGAATGTGTAACATACACTCTCCAATTTATACTCTCTCTGACAGCACTATGCAACACAGAAATGTGGAAAAGCCCCAAGCATTTTAAAAATAAGTATAGCTATCGTTTGCCATATCGTTTATCATTTTCCCTTCAAGTTGGTCATACAGCATTAATTTTCAGAAAAGACCGCGCTAATCATCAAAAGGACAAAAGAGAACTAGACTTACAGCTGTCACAGGAATCTCAAGAATGTCAAACCATGAAGGATTGAAGGCATAATAGAACCATCTACAAGAAGAAGCAAATCAATATAATATTAAAGTGCGAAAGCATATGGCATTGTCTCTAAACCAAAACGAGATTGTAAGCCTATCATGTTGCCAACAAATGCCATTTTAGATGATGTTAATATGCTATTTAAAAGTTGATTGGATGTACAATTAAAGATACCGAGAAGAAAATTCAAGACTAAACAAGGGAGGAACAGGAGGAGAGATCCTAGGAAACGGATAGCATAAACCTATACAAGCAACATTTAATTAATGATGCCCTCTTAGTTCCTAGAACTTGGTTATGCTAACACCTCCTATCATAATACTGTCCAATTGGGTAAATGTTTGGACATTCATTGTGGTTGAGATTTGACCTGACTTATAATCATATAATCACTATTGATATGGAACAAGTAAATTATTCTGACGGATAAAGGGTAGCCATAACAGTTGGAGTTAAATTTTGTGCACAACATTGCTGATCTAAGAACAGCATGTCAAATGAAATTGAACAGGCCTATTCAATATTTAGTTCAGAAAAAAAAAAAAAAGGCAAGCATAGGGACATAGTTTAAACCATAAAAGTAATTAAGAACCATTATTAAGAGAGTGATACGATGAACAGACATACATACAGTTCCAAGTGACGGGCGGTTGGTGTTTCTGAATGGGAAAGAAGTGAATAAGGTCTTGATGGGTTCGTAGGAAGGGCCAGAGTCACTCAAACCGTGAAGCCACATAATAAAGCTTCGAGCCATGTACTCTGATTCTCCAGAAGACGGTTTTTCTGGGGACACTAGTATAAACAGTGTGATTGTGATAAGAACCAGATCAAATAACAATAAAACAGAGACAAACAACAGTATTTTTGCACAAAAAAGGATCTTGATTTTCTATATATTTGAACAAGAAAGGAAATTACAAAATTCAAATACATTAACAGTAAAATACTCAAAGCAGAAAAGCTAAATTTCAGTACATTCGAGAGGTACTGACTCTCCCAATTCCAAGTCCAATATTTCCCAAGGTGCCTTTACACACTACATATTTCCCCTCTTATAGTTAGCCTAACCTCCTAAAATATTCTAAAGTTAGTTATGCCACCTCATTGGTAAAACATAATTCCCTACATGGCACCTACATGAGTATTTTCCTATCAATACTCCCCCCCAAAACACTCACCTTGCCCTCAAGGTGAGGTTCATCTCCAAGAACCTTCCACTGGGATCCCATTGCTTGAATTGTAGAAACTCACGTGTGCCCGAAGATTGATAATGATCCCAAGACTCCTATGCAACTCCCACAAGATTAGGATTGGTCACGGAGCTTCGATGAGATTTTTTATTCCTTCCACAGTAATAAATGAAGATTTCCTTCTCCACTACTGCTGAGTACCCAGCCACAATTGTGAATTGGTCGACTGGAGTTTGTACGCCCTCAATGGGAATCTCAAAAATTTCGAGTAGGCTGCCATTGTCTTGGGTTGATGGACTGGTAACAGGCATCTTTATCATTGTTTTGCAATTCCTAACATCACACTTACTAGAATGTAAGAGACCCCTATCTCTATGTTGGGCTGAGAATGTATTGAGAGCAATTTGGTAAGAACCCATTAAAAGACCCATATCATTATGTTGGGTTGGGAATGTCTTAAAGTAATTTGGGCCCATTAGGTCAACCGCTTGGCCCAACTTGTGTAGTGCATCCCCTGACCTACCTTGCTCCTCTTTCATCTTGTAACGCCATTGCAACCGTTGTCCTTGTGTCACACTGTTTGAATCTGATTGTTCAAGCGAGAGGGGTGTGTCAACCACCACCTTGTTAGCCACCGCTTTCTTCTCCCCAATGGCTTCAGTCTTTTGTTTCGCCTCCATGAATTGAACCGCTCCTTCATTCTCATGATGCATACAAAAACAACCTCCTCCACTGCCATTGGTCAAACGTTCCAGTTGTTCCTTCTCATAAAAGCGCAAATCTGATGGTTCCGGTAAGGGTGGAGGATTAACCACCATCATTGGAGCTCGTAGTGACTCTGGCAACTGCACACGCATCACACCTGCTTCCAGATGCCCTTCTTCTGAATCCTTTTTCAAGAGTCCTTGATTTTCCTCTCCTCCTTTCTCTTTTGTTGGACATTTTAAAATCGAAACCACTTCTGTTTTCATCGGTTTATCTTTAACGTCACTTTCCTTCTCGCACTTAGAATTTTTTTGATTTTCAGATACTGGTTTTTGAGATTCACAGCCTTCATCTTCTACCAAATAAATCTCAGGAAGATATTTTTCTATGAAAGCTTTTTCAAATTTGTTCCAACTAGCATAAGGATTAAGCCAACTCTAACATTTGTACCAATTGAATGCAAAACCTCTAAGCCCTTTTTTCTGCCTTTCTCATCTTTTCTTCTTCTTGAATTTTCTTGGTCTAGAAATATTGCTCAAGGTAAATTAGTCATCCCCAGGCATCATCTTTTTCTCCATAGAATAAAAGAATCTTCATTCTGCGAAATGGACTCTCCACCACCAGACCTCTCCGGGTTTCCCTTTTTGGCCGTGCAACTTGCATTCCATCTCGCCTTCTATCCGTTCGTTTATTGTAAGCATAATTCTTGGTCTTCTCAAGAAGTTCATCAAGGAGCCTGAGTATTTTCCTATGATTTTCTTCAACTTGCCTTTCTTTTTTCTTCCAATTTTCAAATTTGTTTTCCAGTTGTCTCTCTTCTTTCCTCTAATCTTCATATCTGTTTTCCATTCTTATTTTCTGATTGGTGTGGTTCAAAGCTACCCGGATCAGATAGCTCTGATCCCAATTGATTAGAACCGGATCAAATAACAATATAACAGAGACAAACAACGATATTTTTGCCCAGAAAAGGATTTGGAATTCAAATACATTAATTGTAAACTACTCAAAGCAGAAAAGCTAAATTTCAGAACATTCGAGAGGTACTGACTCTCCCAATTTCAAGTCCAATATTTCCCAAGTTGCTTTTACACACTACATATTTCCCCTCTTATACTTAGCCTAACCTCCTAGAATATTAAAAAGTTAGTTATGCCACCTCATTGCTAAACCATAATTCCCTAGATGAGTATATTCCTATCAGATTGCAAACACAACAGTGGGCTTTATCAGCTTCATCTCATAAATATATTGCAGACACAAGTATTTCGAAGCTTACAAGGCACCTTGTGATATTTTAGGATGATATTTTAATATTATATGATAATGCTTTTACTATTTAAGGTGATCTATAATAATATTTTAAATTGAACACTCAAATTTACAGAAATAGATTTGTCTTTCCTAACTTCTTATAAAAGGTACTTTAAAAATAATTAAGGGAAAAGTGTTTATAATTTTAAAGGATGTAAAGTTGTGTCATTTTAAGAGAGAGAATGAGATAGATTAAGGAGGAGAGAGAGTTGACAAAAAAATAAAGGTGTGGGTCTCACCTCTTTGTAAGAGTGAAAGGATGTAAGTTGTGTAATTTTAAATGATAGACACTTTTCCCAAATATTAATTGATAATCATAAAAGTTCTTCCTGATTATTCTTGTTTTTCTTAAGCGTATTTATTACAATTAAAATTATAATAAATCTCTTGATAGTCTAGGTCTGTCCTTTTATTTTTGAAATATAAATCAAGTGAAACCTATAATTTACCCTCCTGATAAATGAGGTCAAGTTCGGCGATAAACGAAACTATAAATTAGTATTATGCGAAACTACATAAAATTTGAAAGTGAAAATTATAATAGAGATACAAATTTTGTGTCCCTAGTAATTTTAACACCCAGAAGATGGTGTTAAAGAATAAGACCTTATTTTAAATGTCTGGCTTTCTTGCTACATTCATCTGAAACCGAAACTCCATAGACTTCTTTGCATTTGCATGTTCAAGGCACACACATGCGTATTGTCCGAATAGTCCATAAACAAAAAAAATAAAAAAAATAAAATAATACCTTACATTACGAGAGAGGGGGAGGGGTGCAAAAATGATTCTTCACTTGAAATCCTATATAAAAACATGTTGAATTTTCAAGGCCCAAATATAATCACCCAAATACATTCATCAGCTTCCTATCTCTAAAGATAATTCTTACCCTATCCAAAACACACCCCAACTCCTAGTAACAAGCAACCCCGAATAAGTGAACTTTAAACTAGGAGATAACCCAAGCTTCTACAAGGAATTAAAGCTACATCATTTTCAGACTGACACATGATACTCATCAATAGTTTGTTTCATTGCATCCAACTGTGACATAACAAATTCCACTTTCTTGTAACAAATCTCATTGGTTAATCTTGGACCGTAGTCACATTTCTCAAATGGACGATACTCACAAGCACTTTTGATTTCATCACGCAATGCCACCTGGATGTCCTGAAAGACTTAAAAAACAAAAATGAAGTTAAAGTACATTACAACATTACAGCACTCAAAACTCTTAACAAGTACTGATTCACTGAATATACACATTAAAAGCGAAAAGGTAAAAAAGTTTGATGAGCAGATACGGCTGAAGCAACTTTAAATGTCAATAGTCAGATCTTACAGTTATTGACATTAGTCTGGATTTTGGAATACTGTGATTAAAGAGGTCCATGTATAGGCATATTACAGATTTAGAGTTCAGATTCTAGCTCTGAGAAATGCTGGTTGCATGTTATATAGGAGGTATTAGAGCAAGATTAGTGAAAAGTTCATAAGATATTATTGTTATGCAATGACTTGTGTTCATAGTTATACAATGTTAATTATTGAAACCTCTTTAATCTGTAGTTATAATAGAGCACTATTGTGTTCTTTTTTGTGAATTGAACACATGATGCCACCCTCTTAGTATACGTGTATAGACAAAATAATAAATCTATTTCAGAGACAAGGACCTTGATTAATTGCATGAATTCAAGGCAGTGATTTTGGACCACATCTTTCCTAGGTCCAACAGGGCTTGCAAGCTCATCCATGACTCCTCCTGCAAGCTCCAGAACCTTAACAATTCTCTACACATGACCAGGGGGAAAAAAAAATCAATCAAAACAAACTGTGATGTTCTGTCACGCCTATAACATTGCTTCTAAGTGCTCTCAAAATATTACCTTTTCCACATTTTGAAGTCGCTGCAAAGATGTTGTCTGGCCTTGTGAATCCATGGACGTTACTCCTCGTATTCTCTAATTCAAGTCTGTGTAATAAATTACTGAATAGAAAGAAAAAAATAAACAAGATTCAATAAACATCAAATGCACATTTCATAGTTTCATAGCTTAAAACACATAAATTGGCAACAGCCAAGAGAGTTGAGGTGCATAAGATGGCAAGGGTTTATTAGTTTAGACTTGTTCTTTAAAGCACACAACTGTTCATAAATTAGGAGCATTTGCAGCAATCCCGAGTTTATTGGAAACAAATAAAAAGAACAAAAATTTTAGAAAAAAATAAAATTGTACAGATCAAATCAAACAAAGAAAGCATACATGATAATCCAACCAAACCGATTTTGGAAACAATTTTGTTCTTTTTCGGGTAATTCACTAATTTGTAGTAGAAACAAAAACAAATGACAGTTTTATGAAAAGCATATTATGTCCTCGTAACATCGAAACCAAGGGCTTTTATAAAAATTGGAAACATCCCATGATACAAAAAAAAATAAAAAAAATCACTGCAGACATATGAATTTCAAAGTACAAAGAATGCAACATATTTGCAGTGATTATGTAAGAAATGTCCCAAAACATCGCATCGTTAGGATTTATGAGCGCCAAAACTTGACGAATTCACATAAAAGAAATAATGAGGCGATGGGTAGGAGTAGGAACAAAATTCTAATATTATGAAAGCAAGAAATTCAGAAGTAATCGAAATTCAATTTTGTGATGAAGATTTTCAACCAGCAAGACTGTAGCGTTTTAAAAACCCAAAATCCAATTCTTAAAAACTATCTTATGATCACAACCATAAAAATAATAGATAAAAAAAAAAAGCAACAGAAAAACCCTCACAATGGAAAGTAGAAAGTTGAAAATAGGTACCGATATGCAGATATTAGATTTATATTACACGCATAGACACCTGAAGAGATATTCAATTTTTAATTTGCACAGAGCTAAGGCTTGACTACAGACAACGTTTCAATTCCATAATAGCCAGCGAAGGTGAACTTTGCAATGTCCAGTAAAATTAACAAGCCTAAATCAAATAGGTTCAAAACGGAATCATGCAGGAAATGAGGAAAAAGAAAAGGCTCTGAAATAGTAATGTTGTTTCCATTATCTGAAGATAAAGATATGGAATATGGAATGCAGAGGATGAGGCAGAGCGAACCTTAAAATAAGAATCGCAAGCTTCTGCAATTGATTAGGAGAGGATCTTAGAGTGTTTCGAGTTCCAACGTTAAAGGTGAAGCGAATAATTAGGTCTAGGGTTAGGAAAATTGGCAGAGGGAAAGCACAAATGGAATGTAAAGGGAAGCATTTGGGGAATGAAGTGAGAAGGGAAGAGTAAACAAACCTGAATGTGGCTCGGCCTCAGAAATTCAAAAGCCACAACCCAAAACCCACTGGAACGATCGCAAGTTGAGTGTCCGTTCCAATGCCAATGCCAATGCCATGTCTTATTTTAAAAATGGGGAAAATGTTTCTATTTTTTAAAGCATACAAGAATGTGTTATTTTGAGTCACGAATTAAAATTTTTTATTTAAAATTAGGGGAAGGGTATTGTAATAATTAATTAGTGTTACTACCAATCAATTTCATCGTTAGATCGATTATATTGATCCAACGGTTATATTTATTTCTACCTTTGTATGGTTATGATTTTCCATATTTTATGTTTTAATCGATCTAACGGTTATATTTATTTTCATCTTTGTATGATTATGATTCCCTATATTTTATGTGAAAACATTAAATATGGAAAATCATAACCATATAAAGGTAGAAATAAATATAAAATATTAAATATGGAGAATCATAACCATACAAAGATGGAAATAAATATAACTGTTGGATCAACATAATCGATCTAACGGTGCAATTGATTGGTAGTAACACTAATTGGCTGTTACAATATTCTACCCCTTAAAATTGAAATTAAAAAATTCATTCATTTTTTCTTTCATGATTTTTATTGTTTGTGTATTTCTCTTACATAAATTACACAACTCTGAACAAATATCAAATCCTTTAAAAATACAATTAAAATTTTAAATTAATAATTAGGTCGGGTCGGTAGTCTAGTTTGGCCCACAATTTCATCACGCGGGTCAAATATCAGCTGATACCATAAATGTAACACCCCGTTCCGGACTAGCGTATTACCAAACATATAATATTAAGCATAGTTACAATCACAGTATTTGAATTAAAATACTGTAAAACTTTTTCTTTTATAAACGACATTTTCATTTTAAAACAATTGTATTCAAAACAATTCCCTTAATGTGATCATAACCAAAAGCAAATGTAGAATATAAATTTCTACTGCTTAAATGTCATACAAAGCATATACAAAGATTGCTAAATGTTCCCATAAACCAACGAAGCAACAATACGATATTATGCATTGTACCAACCTTATATAGGTTCGGTTTTACAAAAACTGCACTTGGCCTATGTATAAATAGATTCTCATCTTCTAGTATGTTAAACTAGACACTCTAAGCTTTCCAACAAGGTATCATAAGCTTAATTTGGACATCTACAACTCTAGATATGTTTACGGTAAGATAACAGCTCAAAATTGTCAACATACGTCAACAACGAGTCTGCACTGTTTTACAGTGTTCCATACTGCAGCAAAACCACTCATATGTTTTCTCTCAATTTTGGATATGTTATAGTTGACACCTAGACCTTCAATTTGATATATTATAAGCCTTCTTTCGATAAGAAACGAAGGAGTTATAAATTTTCAAAGTTAAACAACTCTTGTCGTCAATTCCACTACAAACTGGCAGCGAACATATATAGCAATCTGCACCATATTTTCTCTCTTTGTTGTCCCATATTTTAAGACATTATAGCCCACATCCTAAGCTTCACAATGATAGCTCACACGTCTCATTTGACAAAGAATTGAGTGAGATATGACTTACCAAAGTCATACACACTACACTTACGTTTTCTTATAGATTTTGACAACATCTTCACTGTTTTTCCAACAACTAGGAATTTCACAATTCCACTTGGTTAACAACACCTGATTGACACAATATTCATTCCATTCGAACTACATCACAAAGATGGCTCCGTGCCATTTACATTAAACTACCATACAACACATACATATATCTGTTATTCTTTACAAAACATTTATATAGGCAGCGTAGGCCAAAGCATTGTCTCCACTAATTATCACCTCAAAACGTATATATACAGAGATTTCACAAAATATGCATCTGTTCAACTAGCAGCTCCAAATACAACTCTAGTCTTCATCCATAGGCTTCTAACCCTTTTCCTTATCTTCCACTCTAGAAGTATCTGAAATATATCCCCATAACGTGGGGTGAGATAAACTCAATAAGCTCAGGGTTAATGGAGAAGTCTCCACCCACGAGTTCACTTCCTGCATATATTTTCAAATAATACAATTAAGTATTTTACATCGTTTTTACCTTTCATTAATCATACATAACTTTACAAGTTATAGTTTCATTATTTTTCTTCACAACACATATTTCACAATTTCATTCTAGCAGTTATAATCAACTAGAATATACTTATTTCATACTATCAGAATTACTTCAGAATCAGAAACTCTTATCAGAATTATCCATAACACACAATTATCATAATCAAAAGATTAGGACTTTACACTCATCAAATTAACCATAATCATCAGAATACACAAACTTCACAGTCATCAAAACACATCAAAATATTATATATCTCTGTTTTATAGAGAAATCAGAATCAACCGGAAATCAGATACATTCAGAATAATACTTATTCTCGATAATTCCACCAGAGCTATCCTTTTTACGGACACACTCAACTTGTACGACCAAATTATTAATTGGCCTCATACTAGAATTTGTAAGAACCTGCACCGTAAAATAAGGTATTTAATTAATTAATTATGAGAAAATAGGAAATGATTCTATAATTGACCCTAATAATTATTATGAGCCTCTAATAATTATAGTAAGTGACTAAGAAGGCTGAAAGTCGCTTTTCGGAAGAAAAGTGTAGATACCAGTTCTGCTAGTCGGCATAAATGCGTACCAAAAAAGTATCCCGGAAGATTATAATAAGTGCATGATAATTACTAGAATAATATGTAGGACTTGTAAAACGAGTTTCAAGTCCAAATAATGAGAACTGGTGCCAGAAACTGATACTGGCTAAGAAAAGCGCATACCGGAAAGGTGCTCAGAAAAATATTATAAAAATATGATAATTCTTGTAAAATTGAGTAGGTTAAGAATCCATAGTTTGGGATTAAAATGCTAAGCGAAGCAATTAAAGCTAATATTGCGTGTTTTATGCTGATGTAGTTATATATACTCTAATCATTGGGCACAAAACCCTAGATCAGATTTCCTACGTGCCTCTATTTTTGCTGAACAGCTCCAGCAACCTTTTGCCACTCTTTTCTCCATTGTTGTGAGCCAAGGAGCCTCCTTTCTCCTTGGTTTCTTCTCCAAATAATTTGGGCTTGTGAGAGCTTGCTTGGTGAGGGAGTGTGAGGGCTTTCCCTGAGTTCCAGCCTTTGTGAGTGAGGTGTTGAGGTTCTGAGTTTGTGGTTTAGGTGGTGAAGGTCTTGTTCTTGACTTGGGGCTCCAAAGTGTCAACCTTTGTGAAGAAAAGACCCTTCTTGGTGTGCATTTTTGTGCGCAGTGTTGAGGCAGACTTGGGAGTTGTTGTGTGAGCTCAATAGAGCACCTACATCCTCTGTTTTGGCTTGTGGTATGATCACCACCTTTGAACTTGAGTTTTTATGCTTGAAAATGGAAGCTTGATGTATGTAAAGGCTAAAAGATGATAACTTAATGTTGGGTAATGTCAAACACACATAGAAATGCATGTTTAAGTGTTTAAAATCGGTAAAAACCCAACCTTGGAAGGATATCTTCACGAAATGCAGTTTTTGCATTCTGTCGTGAAATATCCGGATATCTGCCCAAGAAATATCCGGATATGTGATATCCGGATATGGGATTTGGATATCCGGATATGGGAATCTGAATATCCAGATATTGTATATCCGGATATGGTTAATGAGATATCCAGATATTGCATATCCGGATATGTACCCAAAGAATATCCGGATATTCTGGGATTTCGTAGAACAGTAGCTGTGTTGTGAGGACAGTAGGCTATTGGGGGTTTGGGGATCCTAGATTGATGAAGTTGAACTTCTGTAATTAATGGACTAAGTCAGAATCATGTGATTAAGGGCTTGTGGCTTTGTTGGAAGCCTTAAGACGTAAATCGTTAGGGAGAACGTAGTCTTTATGTTAATGCTTTTGAGTTATGTATGTTGATACACTTGCTGGTCCTAAATCAGATTGTGATTTGCTGTGTGTTGGACTTGAGCTGTGAGGACTCTTGGCATTGGATAGTGAGCTTGCAAGGTAAGCTTTCGTGTCCTCGGTTTAGCCATGTTGTGGTTCCACCATGTCCCATGGGGATATGGTTATTTGCATGTTGTGTTACATGCTTTTGATGTTTTGGAAATGCTGTTGAGCTGTTATATGTTAGTGCCTTGTTGATATGCATGAAGGTGTTCCACCTATACGGTAAGCCTGAGTATGTAGAACATACAATATGGTGAGGTTGTGGGTGAGGTACAAGCGGTGTTCCTTGTACTACATGTAGGTATAGACGTATTCCTACATTTCTCTGGCTAGTAGAATAGTGATTACACACATGCTATAGATCTATATTGCACTACATAGTTTTGAGAACTTATACTGATAAAATGCTTTTAGAACTTATATTGCACATGTAAGTGAGCTTGGGGTGGAAGATCCTTGAGGACCCCTTGTCTTACTAAGATTTCTGGTTTAGAGATCTCACCCCACGTTTGGGGAATGCTTATTTCAGGTTCAGGTAATGTTGAGACCTCAGGCGGCAGGAGGCCGGAGCTGAGTTAGATATTGATGATATTTTATGCTGACTTGTTGGATGCTGGTTATGCATGCTGCTTTATGGTTTTAGCTTCAGTTTATGATTGTATATCATCTTGTTGAGACGTTGTTGATTTGGTGAGCATGGGGATTGTCCATGACACATAGTCTTGTTTATGTCTTGTTTTATTTGGAGTTGTAATAATGTATCAGGATTATGGTCCGGACTACGAGTTGTAGATCCGTGATTTTAGATACACAGTTTATTTATATATTGAGGTATTTTAGTAGACGTCTTATTGCAATTTACATACAGGCGATATTTTATGAAATTGATTAAGTAATCAACTTGGCTAAGTATATGACGTCATAATTGGAAAAAAAAAGATATTCCGCAATTTTTATTAAGCACAGCTTAATA